CCCTCCTGAGCCCAGCCCTCCTGAGCCCACCCCTCCTGAGCTCACCCCTCCTGAGCCCACCCCTCCTGAGCTCACCCCTCCTGAGCCCTGCAGCTCCTGTCACCTCTCTGTTAACCATGTGTTTATGATGCTTTGGCCTCTTGAGGCTCTGCTGACCCTAGAAAGGCTGCCTCTCCCCAGTTAGCCAGGTCCTACAGAGAGCAAATGACAGTGCAAGCACCTTTTACATGCAAAGCATTTCAGCCAGAGCTCACACCCCGCCACCCCACTGGACTCCTGGCCACTGTCCCCTTGCCCTCATCACCCCAGGGCCAGGTACCAGACAAGCAGAAACGTTAGATGCCTAGTACCTGCCGAAATTACTCAGACCAGCCAATCCTAAACTTGCTTATGATGCCTTGCCTGTTGCTTTCCACGAAAATCACAATCAAAGCTCCCACCCATGTTTCCCTTTACTCCCTCGGCCTCCTGACCCACCTTGGTGCTTCCCCAGGGACCCCTATGGTGTGGAAGGCCCCAGCTGACTTTTCATTGGCAGTCATCTCTTGATCTGTTGGCCTTGCCGTTCTGAATAATAATGACACCTACATTCTGAAACATCCTCAGAAGGGAAAGCCAAGGCCTTCATGTGATCTTGGCTCTGCTGCCCACTCTGGAAGCCACTGGTCACATGTGGCTATTGAGCATTTGAAATGTGGCTGGTCAAAACTGAGACGTGGTTTGACTGTAAAATACACCCTGGGTTGACCAGGTGTAGTGGCTCACACCTGTAATCCCAGCACTTTGGGAAGCTGAGGCAGACAGATCACAAGGTCAGGAGTTCGAGGCCAGCCTGGCCAACATAGTGAAACCTCATCTCTGCTAAAAATACAAAAAATTAGCCGGACGTGGTGGTGTGTGCACGTAATCCCAGCTACTCGGGAGGCTGAGGCAGGAGAATCATGTGAACCCGGGAGGCAGAGGTTGCAGTGAGCCGAGATTGAGCCATTGAATTCCTGCATGGGTGACAGTGGAAGGCTCTGTCTCAAAAAGTAAATAAATACATACATAAGCACGCTGGATTTTGAAGACTTAACACAAAATAAAAAATAATGCAAAATAGCACATCAATTAGTTTTTATATCAACCACATGTTGAAATAATAATATTCTAGCTATATTGGGTTAAGCAAAACACATTAAAATTAATTTGTTTCCTTGCTTGTTTTTTAGTACAGCTATTAAAAAACTGAAAATGACTCATGTGGCTCCTATTCTTTTTTTGTGAGCCTTACTCTGTCTCCCAGGCTGGAGTTCAATGGTGCGATTTTGGCTCACTGCAACCTCTGCCTCCTGGGTTCAAGCCTTCTCCTGCCTCAGCCTCCTGAGTAGCTTGGACTACAGGCACCTGCCACCATGCCTGGTTAATTTTTTGTATTTTAGTAAAGATGGGGTTTCACCATATTGCCCAGGCTGATCTCAAACTCCTGAGATCAGGCAATCTGCCCATTTCAGCCTCCGAAAGTGCTGGGATTACAGGAACAAGCTGCGTGTCCGACGTCCCATTCTATTTCCACTGGACACTGCTGGTCTAAGCATCCTCCCCGGCTCACCCTGCTGCCTTTCTGTCTCCTCGTCCCTTCTCTGTCTGTCTCACTCCATCTGCTGCACACTGCCTTTGTTGCTGTGCCGTGCATTCCAAGGCAGCTACTGTCTCAGGACCTCTGCATGAGCCCTTCTCTCCAGCTGGAGTGAGCCTCCAGATTCCGGCAAGGCTGGCTGCTTCCCTCCCCTCCTGTCTTCACCGCACAGTCACCTCCTCAGCGAAGCCTGCCCTGGCTTACCACTCTAAAGTGTCCACATCACCCACATTCCTTGCAGTCTCTCTGCTTTATTTTTCATGCTTAATATGTATCTCTAGCTAATATTTGCTCATTTATCAAGCGATCTATGTCTCCACCAGCATGAAAGCTCACAAAGGCAGGGATTTTTGCCTCTTTTGTTCTCTGCTGCATCCTCTGTGCCTAGAAAGAAGAGTGCTTCACACACAGTCACACTCAATAAATATTTGTTGAATGAGTGAATGCAGAATACAGGCTTTTAGCCTCAGGGTGCTCATTTCGAGTAAAAGAAGTCAAATATATGTGACAGATAAAAACAGTGCCAGAGGCATTGGGAAGCAGGTGAGCAGCCTTCAGGGAGTTGGGAACGGGGCCAGTGGAGCAGGACAGCCAAGGCAGAGAGGCCGTCGGACCCACTCCGACCTGCTATGGTCAGCAGAGGTAGGAGGAGGGTGCAGCAGGCTGCAAAGAAGAGACGAGAGCATTTTCATTTTCTTACAGCTTCCCAGAAAGTGTGCGGGACTTGCTTCCTGAACTCAACCCTTGGTACTGTGGCTTGATTCTACGAGTGGGATTTGATGCAATGTTGAAGAATCTGCCCAACTTGCAGGTCAAGTGGCCCAGGGGGTTCCTGTAGAGTCTCAGGCCCCGTACCAGAATGACTGATTAAAATTTGCATTTTAGCCACATTCCTGACAAATCCCATGCACAGTGCATGCCAAATTGTAGTGTGTGCTATCAATAGAGGAACAGAAAGACAAAATGTGGTGTATGCACTCAATGGAATATGATAGAAAATTTTTCTCCTTTTTTTTGTGAGACAGAGCCTTACTTTGTCACCCAGGTTGGAGTGCCATGGTGGGATCACAGCTCACTGCAATCTCGACCTCCCAGGCTCAGACGATCCTCCACCTTAGCCTCCTGAGTAGCTGCGAAGGCAATTCTGCCACACACTAACTTTGATATTGTGCTAAGTGAAATAACCAAATGCAAAGGACAACTTTTGTACATTTTCACTTAGATGTTGGAACTAAGCTGACAAATCCATAGTGACGGAAAGTAGAATGCCGGTTGTCAGGAGCTGGATGGGTTAGGGAGAATGGAGGATTGCTATTTAATGGATTCAGAATTTCGGTCTGGGAGGATGGAAAGAATTCTGTGGTTGGATGGTGGTGATGGCTGCACAACAGTGTGAATGTACTTAATGCCACTGAACTGAACACTTAAAAATGGGTAAGATAGGAAGATTTATGTTATACATACACACACGTGTGCGCACACGTGCGCACGCATGCACACACACACACACACACATTTTTGAGATGGAGTTTCACTTGTTGCCCTGGCTGGAGTGCAATGGTGCAATCTCAGCTCACTGCAACCTCTGCCTCCTGAGTTCAAGCGATTCTCCTGCTTCAGCCTCCCAAGTAGCTGAGATTACAGGTATGCGCCACCATGCCTGGCTAATTTTGTATTTTTAGTAGAAACAGAGTTTCACCACATTGGCCAGCTGATCTTGACTTCCTGACCTCAGGTGATCCACCTGCCTCCCAAAGTGCTGGGATTACAGGTGTGAGCCACCACACCCGGCCATGTTATATATATTTTACCATGATAATAAAAAAAGTGTGCTTACAAGTCCCCTGTGCTGTGGCCTGAGAATCTGCATTGCTGAAAGGTTTCTGAGTGGTGCTGATGCTGCTGGTCCCAGGTCAGTACTTCCACCTCACAGCATCGGGATCCATCGTCAGGCCAAGGTGAAACGTCGTGTCTTCTGTTTCCCCAAGCTCGTTCTTCTCGGTTAATACCAGCTTGGAACATAAACCCCAGGAGCTCCTGCGCTCCACCCTCCACTGGGCGAGTGATGTCTCTTCCTTGAAGGCTCCATTGAGTTAACCTGACTTCAGCAGCACCTCCACCCGGGTGCCCACACAGGGATTTCTCGGCCGCATGAAAGGGAATATTCCCTGAGCAGAGGTTTGCAGAGCTTATGATATAGAATGCTCATACAGGTCAATGAAGAATGAGAAACACCCTAACGTGAAAACGGCTAAGGGGAGTAATAAAGAAGCATTTAATAAAGTAGAAATACAGGCTGGACATAGTGGCTTATGCCTGGAATTCCAGCACTTTGGGAGGTCAAGGTGGGAGGATCACTTGAAGCCAAGAGTTTGAGACCAATAGGGCAACAAAAAGTAAAAAAATAATAATAAAATAAACTTCTTTTCACTTTTTGTAGAGTAAATAATTTTTTTACTCTACAAAAAGTAAAAAATTAGCCAGGCATGATGGCACATGCCTGTAGTCCCAGCTACTCGGGAGGCTGAGGCAGGAGGATCACTTGATCCCAGGAGGTTGAGGCTGCAGTGAGCTATGATTGTGCCACTGCACTTCAGCCTGGGCAGTAGAGTGAGAACTTGCCTCAAAAAAGGAAAAAAGAAAAAGAAAAGAAAAGAAAGATGGCCAAGAAATGTCAAAAATGAAAACTCTAATTAGTAATCAAACATGGAAGAAAATAATAAGAATGCATTTTTTTAATAGAGTGGGTTGGAAAACAAAATGAAAAGAATTGTAACCAGTGCCAACTTCAGTATGAAGAAAATGATGCCAATTCTCAGAATGAACGGACCCTAGATCAGTACATTTGTGGAACGATTTGGTAATATGTATCAAGAGCCTTAAAAAGATACGTACTCTTCAAATAATTCCACTTCCAGCAGTTTGCTCTTTGGAAACAAGCGGACATGCGCACAAAGACACATGCACAAGATTACTCACTGCAATGTTGCTTATAGTCGCAAAAAGAATCTTAGCTTCCTAGTTGGTAAATTTATTATATCTATGTAAAAGAATGTTAGACAGCCATTTTAAATGATTCTGTGGATGACCATTCTGTCTTTACTTATTTGGAATAATTCGCGTTTGAGCTGCAAAAGCAGTTTAAAGAGCCATTTGTTGCCATCTTCATGTCCAGGAGTACCCAATGTTTGGCTCCCACTTAAAAGTAAAAACAGACAGTATTTGGTGTTCTGTTCCTGGATTAATTCTCTTAGGGTAATGTCCTCCAATGGCCTCCATGTGGCTGCATAGGACATGATTTCTTTCTTTCTTTTTTTATGGCTGGATAGTATTCCATGGTGTCTATCCAATCCACCGTTGATGGATTGGAAAAATCCAGTTACAAATGGAGAATAAATCCACCTTTGATGGCATCTACGTTGATCCCATGTCTTTGCTCTTGTGCTGTGATGAACACGCACATACATGTGTCTTTTTGGTAGAACTATGTGTTGTCTTGTACACATATATCTACCTTTAGGGGAGGAAAGGAGGGGAGCAAAGTTTCAAAAACTAACTGTTGGGTACTAAGCTGACTACCTGGGTGACGGAACATTTATAGCCCAAACCTCAGCCACACATGATACACCCAGGTACTGGCACGTGTACCCCTGAATCTAAAATAAAAGTTTAAAAATAAAATAAAATAAACAGAACCATTCATATATATGAATTAAATTTGTTTTAAAAGGATAGATGACACATTTTTACACAGGGAAAAGTCTGGAATCTATGTCACAGTGATTGTCTCTGGGTAGAAAGATTGGGAGATATTTTAGTTATATTTCTGTTTGTTGCTTATCCATATTACCTAATTTTTCTACAGTGATTATGCGTTACTAGAGTTTTGTTGATTTAAAACAATATATCCCACATTGGCTCATGAAAAGAGCATGCAAAAGAAACCATAGTTACCAAGAGGAAATGTGTGTATCAGGCTGAGGTCTTGTGTAACATGGGATCATGCAGGTAAACCAAAAAGGCAATAATTGAACTGAATGGCAAGGGAAGAACCATTCCAGGAAGGAGCAATCACTTTGGAAGCAGAGTCTCCGTGTTTACCAAGCTCCAGGCACCAAACGTGAGCAAGGACTCAGTGAATTTGCAAACAGCACACTGCTGTCGGCAGAAAGCTGGCTTCCCTTCCGCCAATCGCTGCTATCATTTTATCGACACTGGCCAGGCGGCAGCTGCGGGGCTCAGCACTGGACCATGTTCGCTCATCTAACCCCAGTGATAACCCTGAGAGATGGGCACGGTGCCCTGTGGCACGAGCTGGCTAGTGGGTGCCCGAGCCTCTATTTGTTGTTGCTGTTTTAATTTTTTTTAATTGACAAATAAAAAATTGTATATATTTATTGTGTACAACATGCTGTTTTGAAATATGTATGTATTGTGAAATGACTAACTAGAGCTCATGTACCTATGCGTGATCTCACATGGATTTCATGTTTTCGTTTTGAGAACACAAAATCTACTCTTAGAGATTTTCAAGAATATGATACGTTATTAGCTCTAGTCACCGTGCTGTGCAATAGGTCTCTTGAAATTACTCCTCCAAAGTGAACTGAAATGTTGTACTCTTTGACCAATATCTCTCCCACCCTTGACCCACCGCCTCTAGTAACCACTGCTCTACTCTCTCCTTTTACCAATTCCATTTTTTAAAACTCCACATAAGTGAGATTATGTGGTATTTGTTTCTATTCCTGGCTTATTTCACTTAGCGTGATGTCCTTCAGGTTCATCTATGTTGTCACAAATAGCAGGATTTCCTTTTTTTTTTTTTTTTTTAAAGACTAAGTTGCTGAGCACCATGGCTCACACTTGTAATCACAGCACTTTGGGAAGTTGAGGCAGATGGATCACTTGAGGTCAGGAGTTCGAGACCAGCCTGGCCAACAAGGTGAAACCCTATCTCTACTAAAAATGCAAAATTAGCCGGGTGTGGTGGTGCATGCCTGTAATCCCAGCTACTTGGGAGGCTGAGGCCGGAGAATTACTTGAACCCAGGAAGTAGAGGCTGCAGTGAGCTGGGATCGTGTCATTGGACTCCA